ACCATCGAGCCATACCCAGTCAAATGGTGGCAAGGCACTGACTCTTCAGAGTCTCCCTTTGGGTGTCTGCTACACCTGTGCTCTTACTAACATGGACTTTTAGAGGACCACGGAGACTTGTCTGCATCATTAAGGACTACCTAGTATACTCTGCAACCTCCTTTCCCAACTGCCTGCTAGGGTTTTTTTCCCATAAATAGCCAAGTTAATCAAATAAAAGAGTAATCGCCACGTACTACTCATAATACTCTCAAGTTCAAATTTCCTCTCTATTATTTTTCTAACTTAGGCATCAAATGCTCTTTGGCAGATAAACCCTTCTTTTTTTTTAGGTGTTCATCAATTAAGCTAACGGTGTTTGTTCTCTTGTAGGTGAAATTTCGTCAAATCAATCGTGAATGAAATTTGCATCCACAAATTGGTATTTTCGTTGAGAGAAAAATTGAGTTACAACTCAATGTGTGCTTGGAGATCTGAGTGAAGAAAGTAAACCCTAAGAGCATCTCCAATGGAGATGTCAAAAGATTAATGTCAAATGTTAATTTGATGGCTAACGTGGCAATGTTAGTTTTTTTCTTTTTCCAACCGATATGTTTTTTTGTTACAAATGATATTTGTAGCACCCATTTTAAAAATAAATCAATTAAAATAAATTTTCAAGATCTATAATTGGTGCATTAATGGGACTCACACAATAAAATAATTAAAAATTATTTGACATCACGTTTTCTGATATATCAAATTTGACATATGAAAACATAGGATTAACATATTGGTTGGAGCTTGCTCCTACCTTCAAATTTGATTATATGACATTCCACTTAGGATTTGACATCTCCTTTAGGGATGGTCTAAAATGTAATACCCTAAAAATTTAAATATATGGAATAGAATATTTATAATTATGAATATGTGGCGAAAATCGAAAACAAATCGATTTATGGTTATGAAAATTTAATTGAGGAATTTTAAAATTTTGTTACCAAAAATTATTATAACTTACGTATTTGTATTATTGAGATTTCATATTATTTTTCAAGAATTTATATTATTTTATTTGAATTGAGTTTTAAATTAAACTAGCTACGAAGTTTGAAGTTTGGAAATTAATTATCTAAAATCCGTAGACCCTTCGAGGTCACAATTTATGTTGAATAGAGCTCAATCTCACAAACGCATAGGCACAAACCGTTCGTGAAACGGAGTTATAACGAAGAAGTTATTAACGTTGAAAGTTAGGGATATTTTTGTAATTTAACCTTCATCTCGAAGGCTCTAGATTTTTTGGAGCAATGGATGTGCCACGTGTGTGGCTGTGATGGAGAGGGAGAAAATGAGGGGGTCGATGATTCAAAAGGGGGGGGGGGGGAAGGAGAGGACCAATGGGAAAAGAAAGAAATGAGGGAAAGGAGGGAAGGGAGAATTGGCCGACCCGGCTCATTCCCTTCGACCCGTCGACCCTACTGGTTCCATTTTCCCCTTCCGACGACTTTTCGTCAAATTTTCAGGCAAATCATGCCAAAAAAAAAAAACACCTGGGAAACACTCCACAACCTTCCTTTTACCCATTCCACCCCAAATTTGATGAAATTTGAGCTTGAAATTGTGAAAAATTGATGGTTGGTGTATCGAGTTCGTGGTGGCGATTCCTCAAATTTTGAAGCTAAATCCTTCAATTACCACCACCTTTGGACTCTCCTTGAGGCCTGGAACAAAGCCCATGCATTGGTTGGGGCGTCGGAGTTGTTTTGGAGTCGAATCAAGAACGCCCAATTCAAGGGTTTCCAGTAGTTCAAGGGCGATTTGAGGTGTTTCCCGGCCGAATTGGACTTTGGCTCACGTATGAAAGTTATTCCTCTCATTGAATTCTACTTGCCTGTAAAATTTGGTAATTTTTAGAGTTGGTTGGAATTTGGGGTTTCCGTTCGCTAGAAACCGCCACCCACGGCGACATGTTGCCAATGGGCCGATGCTGCCATTTTGTGCAAATGTTGATATTCTAAATATGAACTTCGTATCCAATTGATGTGTTTCAATTATTAAACCCAATGTTGGTTATTTCGGTTACTTGAATGTCTTTGGAAAATGGATTGAAAATGAAGCCCGCATCAAGGGTACGTAGGTAGTCTAATAGGGGTTAGATGCAACCTTAAATAATTGAAATTATTCTTTTCTTGGGAATTTGAATTAAGAAAAGAAACTTGGTGATTAATTGAAAAATTAAATCTTATGTTTTGGTAATTAAACTTTGGTTATAGATTTTGTGAGTGATTAATAAATTTAGATAAAGAATTATGAATTATGGTAGTGAAATAAACAAGAGTTTAATTTGGCCTATCACCACAATTATTTTCTGAAATAAAAATTTTTCGGGTCGGGGCATTTCATAAAAGGCTTTCTTTAGTGTTCTTAGTTCTTGTTCACATGGAACAACTATGGTGGATACACAAAGAACAGCAAGCAAGAACAATAATGGCCAATCCTCGCAATCTAGGATTTCCATGGAGTCTCTGAGGCCCTAGAACATGAATTCAAAATTTTCGTTGATCACAATCTCTGCCGCACCTTTTATTCGAGGATTATAGCCGCTTTCGTAAAAAAAAAGGATTGCCATGACTTTGTCCTGGCCCCAAATCACCTCCACAGTTATTGCCTCCATTACCACACCAGTACCGCGCTAGGCCATTGTGGTTACAGCGCCATAACAATAGCAATAGTGGTGATAACAACAGCAACAATTGCAACAACAACCGCATGCGAGGCCTCATCAGGTTCAGTCACTCCCCATCAAATAGCCATCACCATTTCAACATGCTTCTATCGAGCTACAGCCACTAGCTCTGCTGGTCACTACCAAACAGCACCAGCCTCCACGAACAGTCTATATGAATAATCTCGCGGCTTGTCTTGAGCCCATTGATTTAGAAACCCTAACTCCAATGGGCTTTGGCCCATTAATGCAGCCTTTAGTGGCTTTGCTCGCAGTGCATCACATGTCTGCTAGCAGACCCGTGCCAGAGCAAACCACTGGGTTCTAGAACCTCTTATGGAACCAGATAGAAACTATGCACATGGTTTCTGAACCTCTCTAGAACTTGAGTAGGATTCTAAAACCTCTCATGGAATCAGACACGATGTAGGGATTCAGAACTTCGCATGGAATCGAATAGAGTAGCGTTTTAGAACCTCTCAAGAAAATTGGATTCCAGAATTACTCATGGAATTAGAAAGAAAGGTAACACACTAAGATTTCATATCGATGCATGAAATGAGAAGTTAAGTATACAAGGTATCGGTCTTCTATTAGCCCTCTCAATTTGCAATCATTTCAAGTAAATATAGATATATCATTTCAAACAACAGATTGATGACTAGCGATAAACACATTTTATAAATCCATGCTATATAGAAGTAAGTAACAAGAGAATATGCAATATATCATCACATAATATTACAATCACTTACCAAAAATCTCGATTATTAGCAATCGGAGCACTCAGACACGATGAACGCCTATTAAAATACACATATTATCTTAGAATCCGAAAATAAATAAGCCACCAGAATAAATTGGGGCACGTTGACCAAAAAGTCAATCGTCAGTCAAAGTGGTTAACAACCAAGATTCTCCAATATGGAAAATTCAAACGTCAAGTTTTCGTTCCATAATTTCTCAAAGGTTTGACAATAAACAAATAACATGCTAAAAAATTGCACGACAATCCAATGGTCGCATTGTTGTCAATCATGAAAATCGAACAACTGTACAATTATCTCAAAAATTTAATGATCGAACCATTGCATCAAATTTCAACAATCGAACCTTGAATATGGACTCAGGCTTCAAAAACATCTCTATGTCCAAAAGCCATGTCATTGAGTTTTCCCATGCCCCGCCATACACACCACTATGCATGGTGGTTTCCAGCAAACGGAAACTCAGTTCCCGCTAACTCCAAATTTCAAAAAATTTTACAAGCATGTAAAGCTCAACACAAGGAACAACTTTTTTACTTGTCATGAAGTCCAATAGTAACGAAAGATGGCCAAAACCCCTAGGAAAGCCACAATGTCAAAAACTTCAAAGGCTCACCATGTCGTTGTTGGAGGTAAAAATGACATGGGGTTTCAACTGGGCTCAACAATAATTTAACCCCACCATCCTCATCGATTCCTGATCCTGGTCTAGCAGAGCTAAAGGGTTTTGTTTTTGGAGACCTGGTTTTCTTACTTCCATGGGTCAGACTCTTTCCATTTATAGTAACTTTGGTCTAAGTGAGAAAAATGCCCTCCAACTTAAACACTTCTAACTTTGAATTAGGCACTGTTTGCACCTATGTGCTCGTGGAATTAACCTCTATCTATTTGTTCACCTCCAAACAAGAAATTGAAATGTAAAATGACCAAAACACCCTTGAAAACGTTTCCTGAAACTGAAAATAAATAAATAATAAATTATAGGAGAAGATAAATGTTTAATTCAATGATCATATGCTTTCCGATTTAGGTGATTTTTGTTAAAAATAAAGATGTGCCCTATAAGCACCTGAAACGGGCTCGAGTTGTTATTGTTGATGAGCAATAGAAACCACAACTAGGAGCATGTTTACTTAATAGAAATGGAAAAGAATGACACTGGAGAGCTTAGAAGTTTGAGACGTGAGAAAATGGAATTAGATCAACTAGATCCCCTTGTTGATTTAATTCCTGACTTTTACATATTTGATTACGAGTTTTGGGAGAAAAGTTACACTTTTTTTTTATTATTTTTTTTATGTATAAGCAAACACAGAGGGAAGTATAGAAGTAAAATAATTTTATTACCCATATTTTAGTAAAGCAGCAAAGTCAAAAATAAAATTAATTCCAGTTATGTCAAGTAAACATGAATTCTGAATGCAATAAGGGTGGGTTACTGTTTAATTAGGCCGCTAAAAAACAGGATTTTTTTTCCAAACTCCCTATTTAACATCAACCTAAGCTCACTACATCCTGAAGCTCACCGCATATGTAGGAGTTGGGTGAGACTGCATAAAGAGTGCAGAGCTATAAAAACGTTATGGACGTTTGCCTAGTTTTCAGACTGCCCTATTAAAGTTGATTTATTTCAGATTTGCATAAAGAACACAGTGTTTCCGGTGTTCCTTCAATTGTTATTGTTGCAGGGTTTTGACGGTTTTGAAATCCCATTGATCCTTCCTAGAAGTCTCTGGAATCTGTCTATCTGTGTGGGTATTGGGTATTGCGTATTGAGTTATTGGGTAAGATAGAAATAGGATGAAGTTTGAAAGGGAGGTAAATTTGAAGTGTTTGATTGGGCAATTCCAACAAGGGTTTATGACTTTATCTGGTTCAAGCTCGATTTCATCTGTGGCTGCTATTCTGGGTGTTGCTGGTGGCTTTGTTCTTGCTCTCAGAGGCTCGAAATTCAGCATCCTAAACACCTTAGACTTGGAGTGGCTGCTACACACTGAGACTTCTTCTCCCGAGCAGCTGCCTTTGGTACCGGGCCTCCAAAATCTTGGAAATAATTGTTTTCTCAATGTTATTTTACAGGTATTCCCACTTGTTTCCTTTTTTTTTTTTTCAATTTTTTTTTTAATTTAGTTTTTGTACTTATACTCTTGTTTGATTGCTTTTGTTGACTTATATATTGATTAGAAATTGAAATCCATTGTATTATATGTTCTTGATTAAGACCATTGATCAGGGTAGAACGAGATGCACATTCGCTTACACTATCAGGTTAAATCATGTTTGGAAATACTAGGAGAACATTATATGTGTGCTTGTTTGTGTGTGCGCGCATGGTCGCGTTTGTTCACCTGTAAGTGTTTGAAGATGGAAGTCGATTACATTCTATGTATGTTCTGTTTAGAAATCAATTACGTTAAGTGTTTCATGAATTAGAATGATTTTATGTGATTTGTTGTTGGATGTTTTAATCTTCAGGCTCTTGCTAGCTGTTCATGCTTTCAACCCTTTCTCCAGAAGGTTTTAGAGGAATATGAGTTCTCAGCAGCTGGCAATCGCGTTGATGGCTTTCCTCTTGCAATAGCTTTGGCTACTTCGTTAGAAGGTTAGTATTAAGCCTTTTGGACTCGCTTGACGTTTGTTGGAATTAAACTGTATACTGGAATGCTTTTTAAATATAAAACTTGGTTCAATAAGACATCATATGTCATCATGTCTTAAGAATATGTAACTTTCTGGCTTTTCTATTAGGTATTCCAAACTAATTTATAATATTTCTGTAGACCTGTGCATAGTTGGTGGAGGAAGAGTTGTATTAAGTCCACGGAAAGTGATGCTTGCAATGGCAGATTACATTCAGAATTTCGATCTAACAAGCCAGCATGTGCTACTCTGCCTTCTAAATACCATAACAACTTGAGTAATCAAAGTTGAATATCTAATATGTAATATTATGTACACATAGGATGCAGCAGAAGCATTTCTTCATCTTCTGTCCTCTTTAAGAGAAGAATTTTCAGATTGCTATCTTCCAAATCAATGTTCTTTGGCAGAACTCTGTGCATCTAATTGTAGGATTATTACTCCTAAGAGTATGGAGAACTAGAGTAAGCAGGCAAGGTGGCAGCAACACTACCTTGGGCCATTTGATGGAATTCTCGGTAGCATCCTCACGTGCCAAAGTTGCTCATCACAGGTTCACATGAATTTCTGAAGGAACACAATCATGCACTAATTTGAGTTATACTTGATCTCGTGTATGCTTATCTGCACCTTTTGTGTATTTGCAACTCTTGCGATTAGTTGGTTTGCTACTGTTTCTGTTTCCAAAATCAATTTCACATGTCTAATTTTCCTTAAATTCTTCTGAAATTCTACATCCTTCGGTCTTGGTTGTCCTAGTAGGCTGCAATTTTGTGTTTTAGATGTTGAATTTTAATAAATAAAGTTACTTGTTGACAATATCCTATCTTCACTGGCCATTGTTCTAGAGTCTTCAGTCAGGGTTTCCTCTTTTTATTTCAATGGTATCATTCAATTGTGGATATTTCAGAGTCTGACTCTTTATTTTGCAGATATCATTGAATTTCGAATCTTTTCACAGCTTGCCTCTTTCACCAGTCCTTGATGGCGGTGGCACAATTGTATGTGTAATGTGTACTGAAGTTTTCACTCTTTGATATTATGTATGTTGAGCCTATCACTTGACTTCTGCTGTTATGATTGCTTTCTTCTAAACTAAAACGTCTCCGTTTTTACCTTTCCTTTTTATTCTTAATCAATTCTGTTTTTGTACAATGTTAGATGGTTGGATGCACCTTAGAGGATTGCCTGGAGCAGTTCACTGCTGCTGAGCAAGTTGAGAATTACCACTGTAACCATTGTTGGCACATTGCGGCAGTCAAGTATTTATTTTCTCTAGGAGTAAATGAGGTAAATCCTTTATTCCCATATTATGAAAATATGTAACTTGACAGCCTTATTTTGCATATGACGACTGCAGCAGAATAGGGTTCCTGTTACTCCTTCATCTTCCTGTTTCTCCTTCTATTTTCTTGTCTGATGCGACTAGGAAAAGAAAGACAGTTCTCTTTCACATTAAGTGAAGAAATGATGATGCCAAATCCTAGATTCCTGAAAGAAAAACAAAGGGAAGCTGATTGGGTACTTTAGAAACTGACATCACCTCCAATTATATTGCACCAGGTTTGCTACTGCAGACAAAGCGTTGTGTCCCATTTATTGAATACATGATTATTAACTCATACTCCTTAAAAAACTTTCGAATTTTGGCTATGCATTAATAATCTTTTATAATACAAAAACTTATTACTATATGGAAAAATAAAAACACTCATTGACTGTTTATTAAATTCCATAAATGCTTTGCATCACCGGGAAACTAAAACTAAATCACTTGTGCTTGGATGTGTCACCAGATGCTCTTTTAGGGACTTTGATAGTCAATTCGAAAAAATAAAAAGGTTTAAAAGATAGAGCTATAAGACATAGGGTTTAATCGTTATGTGTTCTTCCTCCTATAGGAGGCATTATATATAAAACACATCTTGTGATACAAGGAATATTAAAGGACTACTAACTAAACTGGGAAACACAATTGTATTCCTGATCACAAACAATCTCCTAATTAATAGGGTTGCCTCACACCAACACTCCCCCTCAAGTTGGTGCATAGATATCTCCTAAGCCCAACTTGTCGAGTGAGTCCCAAAATCTCCCAGGAGATACTGCATGTGTTAGAATATTTGCCAGCTATTCTTCTGTTTTCACAAATGGAATGTCAACAAGCCTAACATCAAGCTTCTCCTTTATGAAGTATCCATCCACCTCAACATGTTTGGTCCAATCATCGTGCACCGGATTGTTAGCTATTTCCCGAGCCGCTTTATTATAACTGTACAATAGCATAGACCCCTTTGGCTTAAAACCTATCTTAGTAAGAAGTATTTGAAGCCATAGAAGTTCACAAATACCATGTGCCAACCCCCTATATTCAGCTTCGGCTAACGATCTAGCCACCACATTCTGTTTCTTACTTTTCTAGGTCACTAGATTACCAGCCACGAATGTAAAGTAACCCGATGTAGACCGCCTATATGTGATGTTCCCATCCCAATTTGCATCAGTATATCATGTCACCTCCATATGCCTATGCTTTCTGTACATTAGGCCTTTTCGTGGAGCTCCCTTTAAATAGCTCAAAATCCTCATTACGGCCGCCATGTGATCTTCACTTGGTGCATGCATAAATTGACTCACTACACTTACTGCGTAAGCAATATATGGTCTAGTAAGTGACAAGTAAATTAATCTTCACACTAACCTTTGATACCTCTTTTTATCTGTTGGAACTTAATCTTGATAGATTGCAAGATGATGATTTTGCACATTGGAGTGTCCACCGGTTTACATGCCAACATAACTGTCTCGGATAACAATTCCAACACGTACTTACGTTGTGACAAGTAGACCCCTTCTTGAGACCTAACAACCTCAATACCCAGAAAGTACTTTAGTCCTCCTAAATCTTTCATCTCGAACTCGAAGGCCAAGTATCCCTGTAGCCGTTCAATTTCGTTCGTATCATCACATGTGACAATCATATCATCCACATATGTAATGATCAAAGTAATTGTACCATCCTTGCGTCTGATGAATAAAGTATGATTTGAGTTCCCTTATCGGTATCTGTACTTTTTCATAGCCTGAGTGAATGCCTTTCAAAATCTGCACACTTTCCCACTAGAGTTTTCAATGCCCTACCCTGGTGGAAAATCTAGGTGGACCTCCTCCTCTAAATCCCCATGTAGGAATGCATTTTTCACATCAAACTGTCTCAAAGGCCAATAAGATTAGCCGCAAGAGATAATAAAACTTTAATGGATTTTTGCAGCCGGAGCAAACGTTTCCTGATAGTCGATACCAAGGGTCTGTGTGTACCCTTTGGCTACTACCCTTGCCTTGTACTTATCCTCCAGATGCGTTTGCTCACTTGACCTGTTATTTGGGTAGTCAGCACTTAAACCAGTAGGGATATCGAACCAGCCACCTACGGTTGTCTCCCCCTGAGGAATATGGCGTAGGTCACCCCATCAGCCTAGTATAGCTTGGGCGTGCAAGCGCCAATGAGAAGGGAACGAGTAATCTCAAGTATATGTCAATTTTTCCGTTCGGCTACTCCATTTTGTTGTGGGGTCTGAGGACCAGTAGTCTCACGGAGAATTCCCTTGTCTTCAAAAAACTAAGAAAGGTCCTGATTAATGTATTCACCACCATTATCAAATCTAAGTACTTTAATAGGAAGCCGATTATTGTATGTGGACCAGATGATAAAACATTTGGATAGTTTCACTTAAATCGCTCTTATGTTTCATGAGATATAACCAAGTCATTCTAGTGCAGTCATCAACAAACGTTATAAACCAACGCACATCATGCTGAGTGGTAACTGGACATGGCCCCCATACATCAGAGTAAACCAACTCAAAAGGAACTGTTCTTTTATTAAAACTCGGAGGATACGAAGCTTGACTTTTAGCTAATGTGCACACATTACACTTTAGAGAAGAATTTGAAATATTATTAAATAATGACGGAAGTAATTTCCGCAAGTAACCAAAGGAGGCATGACCTAGGCGACGGTGCCACAATTCAACAGTCTTTCTCCTTTCCACTATCACAACTTCGAACTTGGTGAACCCCAACCTTGTGTAACATCGTCGACATAGTACAACCCCCTCCTCTTAGTACCACGTCCAATGATCGCCTAAGTCCGAATATCTTGAAGTAGACAGAAAGATGGAAACATTTGCACTATACAGTCTAATTGCTCAGTTACTTGCCCCACAAATAATAAGTGGCTAGAAAGTATGGGAACAAGTAAACAATTATGTAAAGAGAGGGTAGCAGTGAGTGCTATTGAACCCACCCCTCTACCCAGGGCAACACCTCCATTGGCAGTAATAATATTGTCTCGTGGTAGTGGTGTCATTGAGTTAAAAAGAGTATGATCGTAAATCATATGATCAGTGGCCCCATAATCAATAATCCAACCTGTATCATAATCATCAGATGCAATTAAGACTTGCCTGTGTTACCTAGGGTCGTCAAATTGCTTTCTTGAAGCAATCAAATTTAAAAAGGAAAACTGACGGTCCAGATTATTTAGGTCAAAGTTGTTTTCCTGGGTTGTCCCTGCTAGTGGGCCAAGCAGGCCGGTTCCATCAATGTTGCTAACGCCAGCACCTGCTGGTGGATTTGAATTGTTCTGGCTTCAAAACTCAGTAGCCCATTTTCCGAGTTTCCTCTTTGTGGCGCAATGGGTGGGATGTCAGTCAAGCACAGCCCACTTCCTGATTTTCCTCCATGCGGTGCCAACAGAGCTTCTGTCAGACGCTTATGAGGCGGGCATCAACCCCACGAGGGAGAACATGACTAGGCTGTCTGTCATTAAAGCAGCAAGTTGTTGGTTTCAGTTTTGATATTCTGGGTTTAGTACTTGGATTACCGGTAAGGTTTCTTGCTTCGAAACCTTTGAATTGGTGGTTTTTTTTTTTTTTTTTTTTTTCCTCTCTTTTGGATTGGGATAAAGTGAGGTTTCTTGCTTTGAAACCTTTTAAAATTGAATTCTGGTTGCTGGTTGCAGACGGCAGCCAACAATGGAATCCTCAAGTCCGCAGAATTTAGGGTTTAGGGGAAGAGACAAGTCGAAACTTGTTCTGATGCCAAGATAAAACTAAAAGACATAGGGCTTAATCGTTATGTATTCTTCTCCCTATAGGAGGCATTATATAAACACATCTTGTGATACAAGGAATATTAAGGGACTACTAACTAAACTAGGAAACACAATTGTATTCCTAATCACAAACAATCTCCTAATTAATAGGGTTGACTCACGCGAACATTAAATGTCAAAATGATCCCTGTGTTATAGCCATTTAGTCAATTTAGTCCTTGTGTTCCAATTTAACCAATTTAGTCCTTATGTTTCTCTGTTAGCCAATTAAGAACATTCCATTCAATCTCTGTTAAAAAATCATAAAATTATCACACCCTATTATAGAAAAATATTTTAACAAACCCACCCTGCCAATGAAAAAAAAAAAAAAATTAAACAAACCCACGCCATCCGCCTTGTCCTTGATCCAAACCCCAACCCTAGCCACACACGTAGGCAACTCGACCAACGAGTCTCTACATCCACCTTGACCCCACCTGTCACCACGCGAATTCCATCATGGTAGTCCCAAGAAAATTAACCCTGATCACCTCGTCTTTGACTGTGTAATTGAGAAACTGATCGTAGAGAGCCATATATTACCCTTTCTCTTTATTTAAATTTAAATTTGCAGAAAATTGCTAATCAATGAGAAATAAGATATATAAGAGATAAAACTTCCAATCTGAAAAATTGTTAAGGTTGTGACATAGAAAAGAGAGGAGGGTGCGAGAAAATTGGGGGATGAGAGAACGTTAGGAAGGAGGTCGGGGAGTTGAGACTTAAGTAATTTTTCTTTTAATTTTTAATTTTATTTCATTTTTAAATATTTTGAATCAAATAGATAATTTTATAAATAAGTTTATATTAATTTATGGGAATTGTTATTAACACTCCAAAAATCTCATTCTACACTCCAAACTTTCTATATCAGGAAAGAAAAATACACTTGTGAGGAGTGTAGAATTAGATTTTTGGAGTGTCAATAACACTTCCCTAATTTATGAATTTTTAAAATAGATTGGATGGAATGTCCTCAATTAGATGATAGAGATAAACACAAGGACCAAGTTTGCCAAATTAAAAACATAGGGACTAAATTGACCCAATGACTAGAACACATGGACCATTTTGACATTTAAGCCAAATAAAAAACATGGGGACTAAATTGACCCAATGACTAGAACACATGGACCATTTTGACATTTAAGTCAAATAAAAATTATCGCATTTCTCCTTATGTGGCCCTCGAGGTTCTTATTCCTTTCAAGAAGAGCTATTGACTTCTGTAAACATAATCCCGTTTGCTCCTTTAATTTGATTGTTTTTCAGGAAGAGATTGAAAAGATTAAGAGGTGCCCTGAGCAAGATTCCTGTGACTGTCGAAGCCATTTTCATCTGCATAAGCTACCGTGGTCAAATAGATTTTCATATACTCTAAAGCAAATAAGTATTGCTCGTTGCCCAAAGGTTTGTTCCTTTTTTCTTCTGTTATTACATAAAACCTGAGGTACTTCCAGGTGTCAACTAGACCGACAGGAAGAAAGATAAATGGGAATTTGGAACTATTTGGCATGACACGATATTGCTCTTGAACACTTGGGTTTATTTGATTATCATGTGGAAGCCCATGTACCTCAGCTGCTTTGGCATCATCTAAGAATGAATAAGGGAATATGTGGCAATAGGCATCTCAAAAGCTCTTGGAGCCTGCTTATTATGGTTACAAGAAAACAAAGGAAAATGTTGTACGAACAAGATATGTCCATAATACGAAAGAAAGCCCAACGTAACTAACAAATTATGGTCAAGGCAATTTTCATGTTGTATTTGGAAAAATTTTCTAACCTAACCAAGAAAGCTTAGTTTTGGGGAAGCCTCTGCAAAATTAACTGTCAAATTTGCATAAACCCAAAGTGGATTAACTGGTTTATTTGGTTCTTCAGTTCTTGTAACAGGATCCATTATTCTGTTATATTGTTTATCTTTATTATATTCACTTGGAAAACGATAGTAGAAAAACAAGGAAATCTCAATTTACTTGGTGACCCAGCATAAGAGAAAAACTGGAGAAGTGATTTATAGTATTGTTTGATATCATTTGCCATTATATTTAAATATCTACTGAAAATAGTTAGACAAAAGATGCAATTTCTAGAGTGGATTTGGTTGTTTTGGAAAAGTTAAGCCCCAACTGGGAATTGAACTGATGGTTGGTTATGTGAAGTACAAATCAGAAGAGAGCTAAAAATTGTTCAACAAGCCATGTTCATTTATATCTCTGGTTGTCTTCTTTCCTTTATATGACTAACATCACTAAATCTGTTTGCAAATAATCTACTGGTTTCTTGTACTTTTCGCTCATATTTTGGGTATTTCGCTCTAGTTGTTTCTCACTTTCTGCATTTTATTAAACGTTTTCTGACATCTTGATTTTCCTGAGAAGTAGGTGTATGCTTAAATCTCTACAAATTTCTTTTGATCTGATTGTGTCTTGCAGATTCTATGCATTCATCTAAAACGTGTTTCAGTCAATATATTTGGGGAACTAGTAAAACTTCAGGTATTTGAAATTTCTTGTTGTTCTTTGTTCAGTCCATGAGAACATATTTCCTGGATAAAATGGTTTAAAATATTTGTCATGGCGTGGGGTTTTGTATTGATGATTGCAGGGCCATATTTCTTTTCCGTTGGTTTTGGATCTGTTGCAATTCAGGACAACTGAGGTCGGAATAAAGAGTTGGGAAGAAAACATGAAAAGAGGGCAAGTTCAGCGACAATGTAGAAACCTGGGAACTTTCCACAATCAATCCAGTATGCAGCATGATCAGATAAAGCGGAATCATATCTATGGATCAACGAGAGGAAGTATCTACCCAAAAGAATTAGCTTCAGATGTATCTCGATTCACTGCAAATGCACAAGATTTTTCGGGAGAATCCAGCTTTTCCCAAGCTGCAGGGATTTCAAAATCCATGCATGCAGACATGAACTTGCACTCAGAAGATCAGGTAGTTGAAATTTGCTGCTATTGTATATCAGTTGATTTGAGAATTGTTTGGCCTTTGCTTTTCCTCATAAAAGAACAATTTTTGCATCTTAAAACTTGTATTTGTTTTTCATTTTTAAAGTATTTTTTATGGTGTTTGATGAATAACTAGCTTTTAGGTTGATTATTAATGTGCGCGTACCTAGTGCAGTTGACTGAGAGTTGCGAAGTGGTTCCTTCAAATACTAGCCTGTACCGTGTTGTTGCCGTTGTGGAGCACTTTGGAAGAGCTGGAAGTGGGCACTACACCGTTTACAGAAGCGTGAGAGCTGATTTATGTGACAAAGAACCTAGTGATGAATCTGAGTTTGACGCTGCTGCGTTGTGCTGGTTTTCTATTTCAGATTCACAAGTGTGTGCTGTTTCAATGGAAGATGTTCTCGCTGCAGAAGCCAGCTTTCTTTTCTACGAAAAATATGAAGACTGAAGAATGAACCTTAGTTTTGAATTTGTCACGAAAGGAATTGTTGAAAATGTACATTACCTTGGAAATTAAACAAAAAAGAAAAAGAAAATGTATCAATAGAATTGATAAAAAGCTGTATTTTTGTGAAGGTTTGGGGTTGCTTGTAGAACTATATTCTTATCTGATTTTATTATTTTTCTTTCTATTTTTTAAATAAAAGAACTTCTAAGACCTTTGAATTGGACGACACGAGTTTGTTTGGACTTAAAAATGGCATTGTGTGCATTTTATGTTGTCTTCCTCAGCAATAGTATTTATAGAAACTTGAAAGCTATTTGATTGGTTTTGGATGAGGCATGTTGATCAACAATTAGAAGGTGACAAAGCTATAATATGCGATTGTTGTGTGAAAAGTACGAGGAAATTAAAATTCTGTCTAAAACTAATTTAATCTAGGAATGAGAATGCACAACGTGGGAAGAACTCTTATTATAAATGCATGCAGTGTTAGAGCACAGATAAAATTGCAGTATAAGTAAGAATATTCTCATCTTGGGTAGGATGGATATTACATATCTAACAAGAAATAAATTTCCTACATTGTCAAAAGTGGGTGTCAGAATTAGCCAAAGGTCCTGCTCACCACAGAATCTAGCTACTAAGTCCTGGAGGGACACAAAATAGAAAGTGTGAGTGGAAAAAAAATAAGGATTTATTAAATCATTTGCCTTTTGTAACATAGTAACTTCTTGCTGTAAAACTTGTATGGTTTCCAAAGTGCTTTCGAGACTTACATTCGCTAGAAAAGACGAGTTTCTTGCTGTGAAAATAACACTATATCGGACTCGAGGTGAGGAGAGGATGAAGATGGTCGTGGTGTGTGGTCTTGGTTTTATGGTATGTAGAGGAGAGAGAGAGAGAGAGAGAGAGAGAGTCAATGTAGTTGAGAAGATAGAGTGGGAGTATTAAGCTAAGTGAGAGCAACTCCACTGTTGCTTATTACCTTGAGGATAGGCAACCCAATCACTATCCCCCCCTCCCCAAAACACTTCAGCCCACTCAAGTAATTGGACCCAAGATGAGCCCAATGGAGAAGCCAAGCAATAATCACCTAACCCAGAGCCCTGCCTATGTGGTGTAAGGCTAACGTCATGATAACGTCAGCCACGATTTAAATTATTAAAATATTATAGAAATTATAAAAAAAAATTATAACTTTTTTTCTATATATACATAACCATGTTCTTCCACGTTACACTAAATTTTAATATTTTTGAATACTTTATATTGTTACCCACAATTAAAAATAAAGTTATCTTTTATTATTTTATAAAATAAAAAATGCTAATATTTTAATATTTTAAAGGTGAAGATGCATTTGGTCAGTTACTGTTTACTGTAGGGAGTTACTGTTCATTTAAGTGGATTGAGTTGCCTATTACCCAGGGACCTTCCTACACTAGAAATGCTCTGAGAGTGTCGGAGGGAGTGAGTATGTCAGAGTAAGCTGCAAGAAAAAGAGAGGAAATGGATCCCAATGGCACGCAAAACAACGAAATAAAACAACAATGGAAGTATCCAATAAGTGATTAAATTACTAAACTTCCTTGACGTTAAAATTCTATAAATCTTCGTTTTTAACTACAAACTCTATTCCACTTGCGCTCACAGGTTTGTAGTGAAGAGTACAACAAGAATATATCAAGGAGGGAGACAAAATGTTAAATGAGCTCAAGTGTTTACGTAAGATTTACAGTTAGCCTTGCAGGGACATTTTTTAAATTTCACAATGTGAGAGAATAAAATACAATAGAGTTAGGGGCGAGTTGTAACAGAGAGGGGTGGAGCGATAGAGTGACAGAGTGCATATCCCTTTTTTTGTTGTGAAGACGATTGAAGAGAGGACAAGTAGTGAAGACTGAACAAAGCGATTGAGTGAAGCACTTTGAGTGTATTTTTGTTTTTTCTTTTGTGTGTTGGACAACATGAGTCATGACTTTGGAAATCTCGAAAATTTTCTAAGTTATAAGTGCACCACTATGTATGCCGTCTCAAAATCTAGCCCATATTGCGATAGCATTTCAATTTTTGCAACGACAATAGTTCTCTATCTTAATTTTTGTGACGACAACAGTCCTCTGCCGCATGATTTGCTACCGCATCAAATGTCGTAAAATAGCGACGCAAATGAAATTTTCTCTAGCAGTGAAGTTGTGATATCAAAATCATATTTATATCACATTTTACATTTTCAAGAGATGCAAATATGAGCTCTATTTCAATGGAAAAAACTATTTATTTTGATCTATCTGATTGACGAAACCTACCTCCAAAAGATGTAAAACAAAAATGTAAATGTAAACGTAAATTTTTATTTTAATTTTTATTTATTTTTTGCCATGATCGGGTATTTTAAATCTTATCTATTGTAAAGCTTTCCGATCAACAAAAATTGTAGAATGTCAATTTTAATGCATTTTGCATGTCGTCCACCAAAGATGATCAAAAGACAAATGCTAAGGTGACTCTCAAAAGAGGGGCTCTCCATAGACTTTCTGCCTTATGCTTATGGCACAATGTGTTATAGTGTTGACATGGGAATCAACGTTAAACTGTGAGGTGGTAGAAAGTCCACAAAGTGTCCCACTTTTGCGAGAGTCCCTTTAGCATTTTAATGAGTCGATTTATATAAAGTATTTTACCCTATTCTTAATTATAATTTATTGGTTATTTTGGTAGAATTTTGATACTTTGTTATATATTTTCAATTTAGGACATGCAACTTCCTCTTGAGCATGAAGTAATCAAATGGACGAATTTGGGACTGATTACATTTGGAGAGTGTTTGTGATTCTTTCAAGATGATTGTGTCAAAATTTTGGATTTTTCTACCTAACCCTTTGAATGTGGCGAAAAAAGAAGGCCCAGCATGCAACTTTCCTAGATTGACATTTTTGGACGTTTTGGGTATTTTGGAGGTCACAATGGCATGTTTTGAGGAATGTTCCTTCTGAGGATTTTTTGGGGGCGTCTTAAGCTAACAAAAGAAACCTTTTGGGACCAAATCAGAGTTGATTTGGTTGGTCAAAAGTATGTTTTTAGGAGAAGTCCGAATTTGAAATTAAATAGGAAACCTTTTTTTTGCTAGTTTATTATTTTATTATGTTTCCTAGTTTTATTCTAAGACCTTTTCTAAGTAGGATTTTGTTTGTTAAAGATGCATCCATTTGGAGAACTCGGCTTAGAGAGCTTATGAAGATTCAAGTTTATTTCACAAGGTGTTTTCAATTTTTTTCTTCTTAATAATACTTTGTTTTTTAATAACAAATTTGTGTAACTAATTCTTTTTGTTAGGGTATGCACCTTGGCAAAAATATGTAGTTTCTTTTCAATTTACTTATGATATTATACATGCATGTTTTGAATTATTAGTCACCGTGTTTGAAACTATCTAATTGTCTTGATGATTGGCCACCATTAGGATATTTAGAAAAGTAATTTGATGTAATTTTGGTCAGAATGTGACACACCCCAACCCGGAATGTCCACTTGGACTCCGAATCGAGCTGTGCTGGCCGACACCTAGAAAGTGACGAAGCCATAAAGTATAATGATGTGGACAATGTGAATAAATTTAAAACTAAAAGTGCCTAAGGACCAGAGTGCGCTGTGAGCGGGAAAGAACCCGTTTCACACGCAACGTCAGAGCATAAGTAAAGTACAGTAGTGTGGGTAAGGATCATACCCTCAGAGGTAGCCACCTATGCTGAGATTCGCCACAAATCCTCGTCGATACGAATATTCGACAGCTAAAACCTGGAGGGGCGCAAAAACAAAAGTGAGTGGGCCTGAAAATAAAGTTTTTAATAAAAACCTTTTGAAAACATTATAACCCCTCGCCGTAAAACCCATTTAATTTCCCAGAAAATAATAATACATACGTATATAGAAATCATGCTCGAGAGTAGTGAAAACCAAGTATATGCCATGTCAAGTATCTCAGCAATGAAATAGGTAAGCTAGGTAAAATAAATCAATGTAAAATGATATGCCAGCCGGAGTCACCTAACATGACTTGTACGGCTCAACCTGCACACGAGTCAGAACCACCTAATGTGGTCTGTACTACAGGCTGGGTGTAAATAAATACGCTCAAGTGCTACGATCACGTAAAGACTGTGCGAAGTATCGCAAGTGACCTACGAGTCGGAACCACCGAATGTGGTCTGTACGATAGGCTGGCACATGCCTTGGATCCAAGGTGAGCATACGGTGTGGGAGGTGAACGATCACGTGAAGGCTGGCCTTGACCTCGGGCGGAGCACTAACATTGGGGTGTAGGATAATGGGTACCAAATGCATCTAGGCATAACCATATACATCACTGATGTGAAATATTCTAACACTCAAATTAAAACCCTATGATTGTTGTATATGAAGGTAGGGATCGTTTTAGGCCGGGGATTAGAAGGGATGCTAATCTACTCTAAACTAACTTAAAAACACAAAACAAAACTTAAAAACACTTAACTAGACTTATATGACTCAAAACAAACTAAAAAGACTCAAAACACACAAACTAAGTTAAATTGACTCGAAACAGACTCTAAGAAGTTATTTGGACGAATTTTAGACTATTAAGACTCAAAACACTAAATTGGATAGATTTGAACACGTTTCTAACTAATCTAACACACTTAATTAAAGGGGAGATTGATTTGGACGAAATTAAAGTAAAAACAAACAGATTTAAAGACTTAAACAACTTTGGACGAAATTAAGGAAAACTATGGGTGATAAGCTAGCTAGAGGGTCCTTCTCCACACATGACACACTTGCATACAAATTGATTTCCAATTGCTTTTCCAATAAACCATGAACCTCAACACCCCAAATTAACCGTGAACAACACTAATTAACCCTCAGATTTTCCTTAAGTCATTGAATTGGATGGAATACACATCGACAACCAAATTATTCTTCAATAGTTCCCTACATGAACAGCATAATAGAGATACAATCAAAGATCATTATGCTTTGTGAAAATCATAAGCATTGACAAGGCATTCGTAACTATGAACAACATGATACTCCTGCCAAGAATTTACTTAACACAATTGTGACTAGCAACCTCCACTACTTATAAATATAAGTTCATAACGATTAGGTGAAACTCCCTTATATTTTAGCATCAAATTCATGCATGCAAACTAAGCGGGCCCTCTTAATCAACACACAAGAATAAGTTCTTAATCAAACAGTTAAGTAAATTATATTCACGATTTATGAAATCACAA